TTTTTGTTTCTGCAGAAAATAAATGTGCATTGATAGGAAAGGTAATTTTCATTTGACTGTAAACACTCAGGTCACCTGTTTTATTTTTTTAGACTTGTTCCTTGTGCTAACATTTCCACTGTTCACTGTTCCTCTCTTTTTTGATGTCACAGGATTTGCATATCTTCCTATTTAGTATTCCTGCAAAGCAAGGAGTCTTTAGAATACAGAGCGTTCGTCCGTGCAGTCGTAACTACATTAGTGCAGAGACCACTGAGAGTTTCAGCACGGCCCCGTGGAAGGACTGTCACTTCAGCCACAGCCTGACCTACTCACAAACCCTGCTTGGCAGCTCTCCTGGGTCATGGCTTTAATCAACTCTAGGGCAAGAATCATTTCAGTCTAACAGATGGACATGAATTTAACCACACAGTAAACCAGGGATGTGCCATAAATATGTTTGCTGAGGGCATCATTCCCAGTACAGAACTTTAAGAACAGCTGTCTTATCATGGGCTACTGTTTCTTGCTGAGATGATTTGTTGACCTAATTCTGAAACAGATTACTTTCATAAGGTCAATCTTTCAATAGCTTCTCCACTATCAGCAGTATAATTATTTGTAGGGGACAATTTTTATAAATAAATTTTACTTACATGAAGTTATTTTTTTTTTTTGAATTGGAGTCTCACTCTGTCGCCCAGACTGGAGTGCAGTGGCCGCTTCCGGCCACCACAGCCTCGACCTGCTGGGCTCCGGCGATCCTTCCGCCTCAGCCTTCCAAGTAGCCGGAATTACAGGCATGCACTACCACGCCCAGCTGATTTTTTTGATTTATTGTAGAGATGAGGTCTCGCCTGCCCAGGCGGGTCTCGAACCCACGGGCTCAGGCAATCCACTTATCTCAACCTCCCAAAGGCGCGGGATTACAGGCTGAGCCACCGAGCCCGGCTAGGTTATTTTTTTAAAAGCACGGTGAGGAAGACTTTATTAAGGGCCGTCTTGATAGACAGAGGGACCCCTGCACGGGAGTCTTGTAGTGGGAGGGGTAGAGATTGGGCTCAACTCCAGATCCAGCATGGGCAAGTGGGGATTGATATAGCCAAGGAGCAGGGTGGAGGTCAGTGGAGATAAATGACTAAGTGAAAACATCAGAGGTAAGGGGGATTCTGACTCAGAATCCCCCTTCTGGCTAAGACGATTCTTGCTGAAGGCGGTCCAGGGTGATCAGACCTCACATGGAGGATCTATTGACATGTGATTTTTAAAAACTAATTTGATGTTTCCTTCCCCTACTTGGTGACATTTGTCTAAAAGGATTTGTTAACCTTTTGTGCATTGCCAGCAATTGGGTTTTCATGCCTGTGGGAGATACAAATCATTAATTGTGAGCAGTCATTTTTTTTTCCTTGATCCTTTTTTCTTTTATTACTTCTGTTAGATTACTATATAAGCTGTTACTTAAATCATTTTAACTGTACAGTTCTTTAAAAATATGCTTTTGTCTTTCTACCTTTTTCTGTCCCTATCTTCATAGATGATATTTTCATTTTGTCAACAAACAGTACTTTCCCTTTGTAACCTATGGAAATTGAAATGAAGTATTTAGGCCAGGCACAATGGCTTGTGCCTGTCATCTCAGCACTTTGGGAGGCCGAGCCAGGAGGATTGCGTGAGTCCAGGAGTTAGAGACTAGCCTGGGCAACATAGCAGGACCTCACCCCTCCCCCCCAAAAAAATGTAATCTTAAAAAAAATGACGTATTATGATCATTTTGCATTCTTCTGAGGGTAGCTTCTATTGGTGTACATTTCGTTGGCATGATCTACCAGGCAAAGTATAAATTGCTGTAAAACTGGAAAAGTGTTTGAATGAGTGAAGCAGATGTTCTCTTAGCATGAAGCAGATGTAAAACTTGCAAGTGTCTGTCTAATAAAGTACAGCATTTGGTTCTTTACAGCTGGTGCCAGATTACCAATTAATCATGTTTGAATGCATTTTTACTAATCGGGTCCCCCTCTGGTCTTTTCACATTCTGGGTATATTGAAGAGAGATGGAGCACAGAAGCTTTTTACTTTCAGTACTTGGAGCAGTGTTTTTTCCTTGTTCCCAGTCTTTTACTCCTGGGCCCACATGGGTCAGTCTTGTATTCTTCAGTGGCTCTCCGGTCAGATGTTGAGGATGTAGGTTTGACTTGAGGATATTCCATTGAAAGCAAGTTAGCACTTTGAGCATTTTGAGGCAACTGGAGAAAAGAAAATGAATGTAATTTAAACTTAATGTTTCCTTCTTTTCTTATTTGCATGGACAAAAACTAATGTTTGTTTAGTTAACATCAATTCCTAGCCTCCATGGTTATTTAAGTAGGAGTTTGAACATTCTAGAAATGAGTGATACCAATTTAGTTTTTTATTATCAAAAGCAATAGAACACTTCTTCTCGAAGAGCAAAGATGAATGGGTTAGCGTAACTACTGAGAAAAATCGCCTTTACCACTATGAATGATGCAACACAAATCATTAGCAACTATGAAAGCTTAAAAAGCTATATCATTCTGTACTGTCCTTTTTATAAAGCAAATGTGCTAATGAAATTAAATTTTAGAACTTGGTGGGCCTTTTTTGTGCTTGATTTCTTCAGGATAAATTTGTTCTCTGTGAAAGGAAATTTAATATGTCAGAAGGTTTGCTACCCCACCTCCTGTTTTTCTAAAAGACTTGAGTTAGTTAATGATGATAAAACATAAGCGCTTTTTGGAGTTCAATAATTGGATGTTTACACTTGTAGATAATTAAGAGACTGTTTCCTCAGAGCTTTACTCATGAATTGATTTATAATGCTACTTTTAAAGGATAAGAGAAATATTTAAAGAAATATTTAAAGGGTAGGATAAATACATTAAATAATTTCTAGGTCTGACGATAAATAGCGTGAGTGGTTCTTTTAATGAAATGTTTTTTCCCATTAGAAAATTAGTTAGAAATAAGGAAAAGCAAAGATGTGCTGAAAGAAGTTCATCAGCTAGAAAGTGAGAAGGTTAGTGTTTATTGTCCTCCCCCAGTAAAATTGAATTTGTGGAATTTGTATTTCCTTTAATATGAGAAAACATAGGTGGAATCACATTTTAGATGATGTGTTATAGATTCTAGACTTTTTTTTTTACAATGGTGTTAAATAATCTGTAATGACACAGATTATAACTTTTTGTTCATTTATACTTTTACATGTATAGGTTGAGTATCTCTTATCTGAAATGCTTGGGATCAGTGTTTTGGATTTCAGATTTTGGAATATTTACATGTACATAATGAGAAATCTTGGGGATAGGACCCAAGTCTAAACATAACATTCACTTACATTTTATATATACTTCATACACATAGCCTTAAGGTAATTTTATATATTTAATAATTTTGTGCGTGAAACAAAGTTTGTAAACATTGAACCACCAGAAGGCAAAGGTGTCACTGTCTCAACCCCCCCCCCGTGTGGATAATCTGCGGCTATCCGGTATCAACATCATTCCTGACTCTGAGGCTATATACTGCCTTTATAAACAGTTGTCTTAGGCCAGACTCAGTGACTCAACCTGTAATCCAAGCACTTTGGGAGACCGAGGCAAGTGGATTGCCTGAGTCCCCAGGTTCGAGATCATCCGAGGCAACTTGGCGAGACCTCATCTCTACAGTAAATAAAAAATTAGCCAGGTGTGGTAGTGCACGCCTGTAGTTCTTGGAAGACTGAGGCAGAAGGATCACTGGAGCCCGGCAAGTTGGTGCTGGGGTGGCTGTGAGTGTGCCACTGCACTCCAGCCTGGATGACAGAGTGAGATGCCAACTCAAAACAAAAAAGAAAAACAAAAAAAATTGTTTTCCTTTATTCACATATAAGCACTTCACAGTAAAAAAAAAAATATGACAAACCATTAATACAGTGAAAAAATAACATGCTCAGCATAATTTATGGCATCATATTGGCTCTCAGAAACTTTTAGATTTTGGAATATTTTGATTTTCAAATTTTTGGATTAGGGATGCTCAACCTATATATAAAATATATGAGCTGATAGTATTACTAGTCTGGGCGTGGTGGCTCACGCCTATCATCCTAGGACTTTGGGAGGCAGAGGTGAGAGGACTGTCTGAACTCAGGAATTCACAACTAGCCTGGGCAACTAGGCAAGACTGCATCTTTCCAATAAACCAAAAAATTAGCCAGCCTTGGTGGTCTGCGCCTGTAGTCCCAGCTACTTGAAAGGCTGAGGTGCAAGGTTTGCCTGAGTTCGGTAATTCGAGGCTATGGTAGTCAGTCGTCAGCATGCTATTGCACTTTAATCTGAGCAAGAGTACGACTCCTACACAAAATAAAGTATTTATAAGAATAGTCTAGAAAGTCTTCTCCATCCGTACTGCCCTTTGCCTCCATATTTTATGTTATTGATTTAAATTTTAAATTGAATAAAAGCATTTTGCAACCAAATTGACTGATAGCTATTACTTTAAATTTCCCATTCTTCTAGGATTGAATACTTACCTAAAAGCAGTTTAAATATTTTGTGTATCCTTTTACCTACATGAACATCTTTCCACCTAGATTACACCTGTCAAAGTAAGATTCATAGTAAAAGGCCTATATTCTTAGACTAAAAAGAAAATTATTTCCTTTATACAGTTTTGTTGGCTTTTACGTTGGTGTCTAATGCAGTTGCATTTATTATCATTTGGGAGATTTGTCTTGTACTGTCTCTGTTTTGTGTCCCATTACATGAGAATGGTAGTGGATGTTTTAAAATTTTTTAATGTTTAACATTCACAAAAGTAGGAAGAATATTATGACAAGCCCCCATGTATTCATCACTCAGCTTTAACAATTATCAGCCTTCTGTTCTTGTTTGCCAAGATTTTTTGAGACTATATTTGCCGAGTTTTTTCTATTTTAAGCTGTAGTCCTTTCTACTGTGACAATGCATATTTAAACAAAAGTAGGCCATGTAAACCCAGTAGATCTAACTTTGTTTCAGGAAGTGGAGCGAGAAATCTCATTCAGAACAGAATGTGGACTGTATTACTCCTACTACAAGCAAATGTTGCAGGCTCCAACCCTCGTTCAAGGTAATTACAGCTAACCATTTCGTTTAGGGTCTGCTGCATTCTTGTCAGTGTTTTGGTCAAAAATACTTTTGCACTAAAGTATTTTAAATGCTCTGTAGAATTTATGTTGTTTTTTTCTTGTTAACATCTAATCATTCCATGGAAATGTTTTTCACTCTGAAAGAAGTTCATAATAATTTATGTAATCCTCCCCTTCTTACGTTCCAGCTCTGTTCCATCTCAAAAGCAATTTCTATGCAATTGTTTGTTTTTATTACTGATTTTTCTCATGATCACTTTGGGAGAGGTCTTTGCAGGTAACAGGAGTATTATCTAAAAACAGGAGATAGTTTGGTAATAAAATTAGTGTTGTCCCTTTTGTCCCCAACACCCTGGTTCATGTCTTTATTTTGCACTTGCCATTTTCCAACATTGTTACTATTCCTGAGTGATTAAGAGCCCACACTCCACCTTTACTCCATCTAATAAAAGTCCCAAAAGATGTTTTCTGCTTAGCACACTCTTGATATGCTCAACATGGGTACACATGACAGGGAACTGCCCTTTTCTAGGCTTTACTTGGATTCATCTATGATGTTTTTGGCGAGAAATCTTCATAGGTGATGGTTTGTACTTCTAATTTTATCACAATAGGTGATGTGAAATTTTGGTTATCTTTGTTTTTGTGCCTTAAAAATTAATCAGTTGGTTTCTGTGTTGATAGCCAATTCGTCTATAATAAGGCTAATTACCCACCATTCTTTCACTTAGTGTTTGACTAGCTTTTGATGATTATCGCCTAGATCCATTATTTCAATAAAGCTACAAATAGTGATGTAATAATTCTATCGTTCCTCTTGTGTTTATTAGTTGAAGCTGTGTTGTATAGAAAACCTTTTTCTCAACAATTATGTGGTCATCTTGAGATACAGTTTATACAAGAAAATCAGGCTAAGTTATTGATTTCTTTGCCATACAGTCAGTCCTCATTATTCACAGACTCTACTTTACAAAATCATCTACTCACTAAGATTTGTTTATAACCCTAAAATCAATATTCATGGCGCTTTCACAGTCATTCATGGACATGTCTAGAGCAGTGAACAATTTTAGTCACCAACATGCATGTTCCCAACAAAGACTGAATGAGGCAACACTGCCTTCTTGTTTCAGTTTTCATCCTACAGTGTTCTTTTCACAGTCTATTCTGTGCCGTGTTTTCTGCACTTTTTTGTTGTTTGGTGATTTCGCAGTTTAAAGTGGCCCCCAAGCATAGTGCAAAATGCATAGTGTAAAATTCCTAAGTGAAAGAAGTCTGTGATGTGCCTTACAGAGAAAATACATGTTAGATAAGCTTCATTTAGGCATGGATTATAGTGCTGTTGGCCATGAGTTAACTGTTAATGAATTAACAATATATATTAAAGAAAATGTCTTTAAACAGAAGCACATAAAACAAGGTCATATGTTGATAGATTGATCAAAATACATAGCCATAGGCTTGCAGGAGCATAACCTTTATTTCCTACTAGTTCAGTTTTTGCCAATTCAGTTTTCACTGCAACTTTATAGAATATAATTACTGTGAATAATGAGAATTGACTACATTTATCAGTTCTCAAAATTATGAGCTGCTTCTCTCGCATCCTTTAAAGTAATGGTTCTCATTGAGGGGAATTTGTGCCCCTAGGGCATATCTGGACTGTCTGGAGACATTTTGGGTTGTTACAGGATGGGGGGTGAGGACAGGAACACTGCTGGAATCTGGTAAATAGAAGCCAAGGATGCTGTTGAACATCCTGCAATGCATAGGACGGCTCTTGCAGCAAAGAATTAAATGGCCCAAAACATCAGCAGAGCTGAGGTTGAGAAACTCTGTTCTTAAGGGCCACGTGGGCCAGACGCAGTGGTTCGTGCCTGTAATCCTACACTTTGGGAGGTGGAGGTAGTAGGATTGCTTGAGATCAGCCTGGGAAACATAGCGAGACTTCTCTGCAAAAAACAAACAAAAATTAGCTAGATGTGGTGGTGCACACCTGCAGTCCTAGCTACTCGTAAGGCTGAAGTGTAAAGATCACCTGAGCCCAGGAAGTCAAGGCTGCAATGAGCTGTGATCATGCCAGTGCACCCCAGCTTGGGCAACAGTGAAACCCTGACTAAATAAATAAAGGGGCATACAGAATATTTTCTTTTAAAGTATCACTATGAACTCAATGGTTGATTTAATTCATTTATGTCATTTAGTAAGATTATCCTTTTGGAAAATTTTAAGCGTATAAAAAGGTAGAGGGAAGTCTCTAATGGATTTATGTATTTATTTTTAACTTTAGAATCGTGAGGTGCATGTGAGGATTTGTTACCTAGGTATATTGTGTGAAGACAAGGTTTAGGCTTCTGATGAGCTCTCCTCTTCTGTGAGCATGGTACCCAACAGGTGGTTTTGCATCCCTTATCATCCCCGCCCTCTTCCCTTTAGCAGTGCCCGGTATCGTTATTCCCATCCTTGTGCTCATTGTGTTAGTATCCACTTATGAGTGTGAGAACATGTGGTTTTTTGTTTCTTTGGTAGTTCACTTAGAGTGATGATCTCCAGCTATATCCATGTTGCTGTGAATGCCACGAGTTCATTCCCTTTCATGACTGCATAGTATTCCATAATATATATGTACCACATTTTCTTTATCCAGTCCACCATTGATGGGCATCTGGGTTTGTTCCATGTCCTTACTATTGTGAATACTGCTTCTGCAATAAACATATGAGTGCAGGTGTCACTCATATGTTTCCTCTGTATCCCTACCCTCAACCTGGATTATTTTGGAGTAAATTTAAGACATGATATTGCTTCATCTGTAAATATATCAGTGGGTTTCAGCAGTTGGTGTTCTAATTTCTAGTTGTCTTATGGATTTGTAATACAGTTTTTGAGATCCAGATAAAGCCTATACATTGCAATTATTTGGTATGTTTCTTTAACTATTTCTTTAAACCTATCATTATCTTTCCATGTTTTTTTCTTGATTTTTTTTTTTTTGTTGAAAACACTGACTTAACTGGGCATGGTGGCTCATACCTGTCATCCCAGCACTTTGGGAGACTAAGGCTGGAGGATTCCTTGATCCCAGGGGTTTAAGACCAGCCTGGGCAAAATAGAGAGACTGTCTCTACAAAAAAATAAAAAAATTAGCTGGGCATGGTGACACACACCTGGAGTCCCAGCAACTTGGAAGGCTGAGACTGAAGGATTGCCTGAGCCCGGGAGGTCAAGCCTGCAGTGAACCGTAATCAAGCCACTGTACTACAGCTTGGGCGACAGAGTGAGACACTGACTCAGAAATAACCCCCAAAAACTACTTTATTGACTAATAGAATTTTTCACCTTCTGTATTTTACTGGAGCCTCATGGTATCATGGTTTTTCTGTTCCCTGAATTTCTGACTAAATGATTTAGAGGCTTAGACATACGTTCTGCTTTTTGGTAAGAATACTTCTTATATGATGTTGTATACTTCCACATCTGAGAACATTCTAATTAGCCTTTCATCTAATGGCTGAGCACCACTTAAGATCATAACCTAAATTCATTAATTTCATAAGGACTATAAAAGAGTGATATTTGAATTATATATCATTCCTTCCATTATTACTAGGCAGAATTTATCTCTATTTTCTCATCAACTCTTTGGTAACCAAGTTTAGTTCACAAAAGAAAGTTGAGATAAATATTGACCTTTCCTTTTATTGTTTTTAGAATGAGTTACCTTTTTTTTTTTTTTTTTGAGTTGGAGTCTCACTCTGTCACCCAGACTGGAGTGCAGTGGCACACGCTCCCGGCCACCGCAGCCTCAACCTGCTGGGCTCCGGCGATCCTTCCACTTCAGCCTTCCAAGTAGCTGGAATTACAGGCACTCTCTACCATGCCCAACTAAATTTTTTTGATTTATTGTAGAGATGAGGTCTTGCCAAGTTGCCCAGGCAGGTCTCAAACCCACGGGCTCAGGCAATTCACTCACCTCGGCCTCCCAAAGTGCGGGATTACAGGCTGAGCCACCGAGCCTGGCTGAGTTACCTTTCTAATATTCTCTTAAGCTTTTGCTTCTTAAGTATTATCATGAACTTTTGGATTTTTAACATAATTGATGCGTTTCAATTCTTTGTGTTACTGTTATATTCAAATCGCCTAATTTTTGTCCAGTGGAATGCCATTCAGATTGATTGCTTCCGGTAATCTTTGAAAACTCCCTTGCTTTTTGGCATGACAAGATGTTTTGGGTCCATTTTGTATATTTTCTATCCTCGACCTAGAATCAGCCATTTCTCCAAGGAGCTCTGGTTCCTTTTTGTAGCTAGAGATCAAAGTTTGTGTACAAGGGATGCTTGCTTATTGGTTGATCATTGTTTCCAGCCCTTTTTAAGTGAGCAGAGGTAGGAAATAGAAATTTTTTTCTGAGAGAAAATATGAATTTACCTATTTTCACTTCAAAGTTAAGATAATAGTATTTTTACTTTTTTATTTTCTATATGTATCTCTTTTCTCCTTAAGTTGAAAACTTGGGTTCCTTATGATAGTAATGTTATCACTTATTTTATGCTAACATAACTTTTAAAGTAACAATTATAATATTGCCACTAACAAATATGATTATCTGAAAACAGTTCAGGCTGTCTTTGCAGTTCTTTTTCTCATTAAGACATAACCCACTTAGGGACATTTTCTCTGTTTCTGAGTTACTTAAAAGATTCCCTCCATGTAACCAAGCCACCAACTCAGTAGATTTATTTGTATATCTTGCTTTTGGCTTTCAGGGATGGTACTGTAAACATTTTTATTTAATTTCTTATACTTATAAAAAAAGTTGCTTTCACCATGTGAAAAGGCATCATCTTTGAAGAGAGGAAGCCCTCACCAGACATTTAATCTGCTGGTGCCTTGATTTTGGATTTCCTGGCATCTGGAACTGTGAGCAACAAATTTCTGTTGTTTATAAATTTAAAAGTTTACGTGGTTCCAAAGTCAAAACTGTGTAACAGTGGAGCATTTGGAGATGTCTGCTTTCATTCCTAACCCTCCACCCTTTTTCCTGTCTTTCTCTTTAGGCAACCATTCTTATTTTTGGTTTATTCTTCTACTTTTAATATTCCTTTTATAAGTGACTAATATATTTGTAATTTTCACTGTTATTACAGAAAAAATACCTACTTACCATATAGACTATTTTCCGCTTTGTATTTTTTACTTAAAAATTTAGGAGAATACTCTGTAGTAGAATATAAAGATGTTCCTTATTCTTTTTTGCATCTGTGTAGTTGCTCCTTTTTATGGATAACCTTAGTTTAAAATACCATAGGCTGGGTGGCTTAAACAACAGAAATTTGTTTTCTCACAGCCTGGAGGCTAGAAGGCTGAGGTTAGGGCGCCAGCATGGCTGGGTTCTAGTAAGGGCTCTCTTCCTGTCTTGCAGATGGTCACCTTCTTGCTGTGTCCACACATGGCGAAGAGAGAAGAGTGAGCTCTCTCGCAAGGCCGCTAATTCCATCACAAGGGCCCCATCCTTCCACATGTGAATGATGGGGAGACCTGAACATTCCCTCCATTATACTCCTGTCTTTTAGGTCTTCTGTAACATAATAACTGCAGACGAGGTGGTTTACACAAGTTTTGGGGCTAGAAGTCTAAGGTCAGCATGCCATTATGGTTAATTTCTAGTGAGAATTCTCTTCCTGGCATGTAGCTGGCCCCCTACTCACTGTTTCTCATGTGGCCTTTTCTCTGTGCAAGTGCAGAGAGAGAGAGAGAGAGAGAGAGAAAGGGCACGAAGGCAAACTCTTGCATGTAGTCTTACAAGGACATCCGTCCTCTCAGATTAAGACCAATCCTTATGACCGCGCATGACCTTGATTATCTCCGAATAGGCCCTAAGTCCAATGACAGTCATATTCAGGGTTAGGACTTCAGTATATGAATGTGAGGGGGCTGGGGGCTGCAGTGACGTCCACAGCACCTCCTGCTGGTGGGCATTTGGGTTGTTTCTGATCTTTTGCTGTTACAGATGGTGCTGCATGAATGACGTTGTGTCATTCATTTTGTGTTTTTGCCAGTCTGTCTTTGAGATCAACTTGAGACAGGGGCTTTCTGGATTAAAGGGTAAATGCTGTGTAGTTTTGCTGGGTATTGCAGTGTTCTTCTCCATAGAGAGGATACCCAATTACAGTGTGTGAGAGTCTGCTTTCTTACAGCCTCACAGAGTATATTTTAAAAGTACTTGATTTTTACCAAGCTAATAGGTGAGAAATGGTCTCTCAGTGTTAACTTGCACTTCTTGTAGGAGGAGCAAGGTTGAGCATCTTTCCCTATGTGTAAGGAGTGTGTGTGTTTTCTTCTGTGAACCAGCCTTTCGTGCCTCGTATTAATGAGTCAGCATGGTTACGTCAGTAAATAACCTCAGTGTGGCAGTGGATCTCTGTAATAGCAGGTTGATTTCTTACTCTCGTGACATGTTTTCTGTGAGACAGCAGCAGCTCTGTTCTGCCCCACAAGTCCCCTCACTTCAACCCTGTCTGAAACAATCCATTGACGTGGTAAAGGGAAAGAGCCAGAGCTGGTAGAAATACACATCACCTCTTAAAGCCTCTGCTCAAGTGTGGTGTCTTCCATCTACTCACATGCCAGCAGTCAGAGTAAGTCAGATGGCCAAACCCAGCCTGGGGAACTTGGAAGTCCGCGTGTACGCTCTCTCCCAAAGGAGATGCTGCAGGTTGCATAACAGGAAGGCAAGGTGGGGAGACACAGAATCTTGCCCAAACTTCTATAGAAGAACCATGTGGGGATTTTTTTTTCCTCACAGTCACAAAAGTTTTCATTTGTCGATGTTTGTATAAACATTTAAAAAATGCCCAGCTACTGTATGGTAGCTCCTTTGAGGGTAGGACTGTGTTTTTTGCTTGCTGTTATATCCCCAGTACTTATCACGATCTCTTGTACATACTAAAAAACCTGTGAATAGTTTTGAATGAATGAATAATTATAAGTAATTATTTTCTTCCTGATTTTTCAAATATCAATCTAGGTTTTCATGGCTTAATATATGATAATAAAACTGAATCTATGAGGACAATTAACCTCCTTCAACGAATGAATATTTACCAAGAGGTTTTTCTCAGTATTTTATATAGAGTTCTACCTATACAGGTATGTTGTACTCTGTGACGTTGAATTGTTAATATTAGATGAAAGTCAAAATCTGCCATTTTTGTATTGTTTTCATGTATGCTCTTCTGATCATCAACTAGCTTGGTAGAAAACCTGCAGTACCTTATTTCTTTCCATGTATATTTGTGAACTTTGCTTTTTATTTATATTTTATAAAATATAAAATTTTTGTACATAGATGCTTCCTGGTTTATATCATAATATGTGTGTGCAGTTTAGAAGCTGATAAATATTGTCATTTGGAATTGTGTAATCACTCTTGACTTATTTTTGAAATAAAAACATTTGTAAAGTTAGCAAATCACAATGACCACTTTTCATGTAAATAAGATAAAACTGGACAAAGTTAAGTATAAAACTTGTCTAGGGTAAAGAAACAAGCTAGGACCCTCACAAACTTCCTGCCCTTGTTCTCTTCTCGGTAGTGGGAACAAAGCTGCCAGCACACTTCTAGATGGAAGGGGAGAACATGGGTTTCCTGCTGGGAATTAACAGCAAGCTTCTAAATATTACATTTCTACTGTCATATTTTTTAAGTGGCAATGAGGAAGGCTAGGACTTTTCTGACAAACACTTTTTATTGTTCCCTTTTACAGAAATATTTAGAGCCAGTTTATTTTTATATTTACACCTTATTTGGGCTCCAAGCAATCTATGTCACAGCTCTTTACATAACCAGCTGGCTCCTTAGTGGTACGTGGCTATCAGGACTATTAGCAGCTTTCTGGTATGTCATAAATAGGTGAGTTGGAATCAGTTTCCCTCTCTTCTTTACAAAATGTGAGTAAAAAGGAAGTCATCATTTTCAGTTCAGTGAAATTTGTTCAGCCGCATTTATTTGGGTGGGACATTTTCTCCGTGGTTTACCTATTGGTTTATGAAATATTTCTTATTTACTAAGGTAAAAAGTGCTACTGATGTATATTTCCAGCCAAAGAACAGGACATCGAATTGCAAATCAAGAGAATCATCCATATAATCCCAAATCTGTTACCTGTTTGCTGTGTGATCAGTATTTTCTCCAGCCACATATCTCATCTCTTAAAGAGTTTTTTTTAATTGACAAATAGTAATTATACATATCAGTGTGGTGCATAGTGATATACATATCAATGTGGTGCACAGTGATGTTTCAGTGCACATGATATGTGATCAGATGAAGGTAATTGGTATATTCATCATTAAAGAGATTTAACGATGTCTTCACTGTCAATCTTAGTAAGGTTGTGTATGGCTCTCGATTAGCAAAGCATAAGGATATACAAATGCAAGGAAGTTCTTACAATATTTAATATGTATTATTAATTTATAAACACTAGAGCCTTATGAAATGGCAATTTTAAAAAACATTCAAGATAATTGAAAAATATATATATATATAGCCTGACTATAGCAGCAACACCAATATTCAGTACAAGTCTTAAAACTTGAATATAAGCCGGGCTTGGTGGCTCAGCCTGTAATCCCACGCTTTGGGAGGCTGAGGTGAGTGGATTGCCTGAGCCCATGGTTTCAAGACCCACCTGGGCAACTTGGTGAGAACTCATCTCTACGATAAATCAAAAAATTAGCCAGGTGTGGTAGCGCGCGCCTGTCGTTCCAGCTACTTGGAAGGCTGAGGTGGAAGAATCTCCAGAGCCCAGCATGTCAAGTCTGCAGTGGCCGGGCGTGTGCCACTGCACTCCAGTCTGGGCGACAAAGTGAGACTCCAACTAAAAAAAAAAAAAAAAAAAAACGACTTGAATATAAGTTCTAGTAATCTTAAGCAAATTCCTTTTATTATAACCCTCTTGGGTGCTTACTATATGCCAAGCACTTTGCAAAGTGTAGCAACACTATAGGGTAGGTACTATTATTATCCCTATTTTAGAGATGAAGAAATTGAGGCTTAATATATATGCATACACATATATATGCATGTAGATGTACATGTTGTGTGTGTATATCATTTATTGAATGCATAGTATGTGCAGGTATGGCTTTTGGTGCTGAATGTACAGAGGTTAAAAGAATCTTCCCTATACTTGCCCTCTTGGGGTTCACATTCTAGAGAGGCAGGAAGCTTTTAAAAATTACTGCCAATGACACATTTAAGACTGAAGTATAAAGCACTAAAGAAATACGGAGGGAGAATACACAACATTGCCTATTGACGCTAATGAAGTTAGAAATTAAAGTAAGAGGCTGGCGTTGATACGTTCATGGGTTTAGGATTCAGGCTAATATGGGCTTGAGCCCCAGGTCTGCTACTTAGCTAAATGCATACCCATCGACAGATCACTTACATTTTCTTAATGGTAATTTTATGTTATAGGTATGATGAGTATAAGGACAGTTATTGAGAACCAGTGACCAGAATCTATGTATCTTTATCCTTAATGTAATATATCTTTCACTTTAGGAAGTCTTTGAGAAAATTATTGTAAAAATTAACACTTTGGCCGTTTGTGTTTTCTTTTGTGCAGAATAGATACCACAAGAGTTGAATTCACGATCCCGCTGAGGGAGAACTGGGCACTGCCGTTCTTTGCAATTCAGATAGCAGCAATTACATACTTTCTGAGACCAAACTTACAGCTTCTTTCTGAAGTAAGTTTTTATAAAACTTTATGCATTTTTTAATTCCCCAATTTTATATAAGAAGCTTCAAAAAATTTGATGTGCATAGTGTCACAATGCATACAGATAGTTCTTAGTCTGTGACCAATTTTTTTAACTTGAGTTAAATTAAGTCTTCTTTTTTTGAGCTTCTTCCTACTTTGCAAAGAAAATGTTTTCATTTTTGATGTTAAAAATGTACTCTACATAATCTACCCTTAAATAGTTACAGCAAACCCACACACGATTTCTGCAAAACTGTCAGAATTTTTAAGCCATTGCTCTTGAGATGTGATTTGGTGCATTATCGCCTCCAAAATAGTGTGGAATACACATACCGTGTGTGAATATTTATATGCAAAGTGTCACTTTACGATATTTAGAGCTTAAATAACAAATGCAAGGGTTTTCAGAGCAACAGTTTATGGTTTCACTGTTTGGTTTATAGAGATATTGACTGCTCTTGAGAAAACTTGTCTGCAAGGTTTTTTATTGCTAGGACATGTAAATTATACAAAGGTTTTCTTTTTACAGAGGCTGACACTTCTTGCCATTTTCATATCAACTTTTCTCTTTAGTCTGACATGGCAATTTAATCAATTTATGATGCTGATGCAAGCATTAGTGCTGTTCATACTGGACTCCTTGGACATGCTGCCAGCAGTGAAGGTAAACTTCACTTTCTTTTCTCATTTGAGATTTTCGTTGTTTAGTGTTTTATATCATAGAATGAAATGAAAATATGCAAGTACTTAATGATAAAATTGAAACTCCTTCGATGCAATGTAAATATGCTGTGGTCAATTGAAGTTGAATAATATTCGAGGCCTTGTTTGACCATATTAACTTTTATTTTGCTATTTTAAGTTGAAAAATAGATTTATTTGGGGCATAAATGCATAGGCCAATTGTTATTTATAGAGACGACTTTTAAAATTGCTTACTGTGTATTGCCATTTTTAAAAAAAGAACTCAATGAGTATGTAGCAGCCTTTCTGTAATACTTCATAAAATTTTCATAGTAACATTTAACCAGTATGGAACATGTATCACTATTGACTGGCCAAAGGTCACATGTGAAATAAGGAAATCCATCTCTGTCTCCCAGGCACTGCTGCTGTTATTTAATCATGTGGGGTTTTTTCATATGTAGAAACATGTTTTTAATGTATTGTGTATATTTTTAAAATTGCTTATAGTTACTAATCTAAAGTAACAATAAGTTAAGTATTTTCCAAGTATAATAAAACACTTTGTCCAGATCTAAGGCAGCAACATAGCCCAGGAGTTGCACTCATTTATTTCATATCAAAAGAAATGTGATAAGCTTAGGGAACTAAGTCTGAATTAAGAAACATTTGAGTTAACCAACAAATACACATTTTATGTCTACTGAACCACTGTAATAAGATGGGCACTACTGAAAATTCCAGTGTGTGTAAAACATTGCCAGAGCCATGGAAGTGTGCTACCCTGCTTAGGAAACAAAGAGACAGTTAGAGAAATGAAAGCTGTTAATTTGTAACAATGGTAAGTATAGAAGAGGAAAAGTTATTTTTAGGCAGAAAAGTTTTCACAGAAGTGAGATACTGGAACTGGGCCACAGATGAGAAGAGTAGAACTTGGGTGGAATGTGAGGGGACAGGATAGGAAGGTAAAATACAGTAAGGAAAGCAAGTCGAAGGCAAAGCTGATAATATATATAGTTTAGTGCTTCTGCAGGTATGCCAGTGGCCACTCTGGTAAAATATAAATTTCTGTAATGTTTTCTACACTACAGAAACATTACAGAAATTTATATTTTCTGTAGGTATCAAAAGTCTAGAAATGTGTTTACCCTTTCACCAACATTTTTAGCTCTGCAAATTTATCCTAAGTAAATAGCCAACCATGTTTATTTAAGTTGTATTGTAATGAGAAAAGACTGGGGGGGAAATGGAAAAGAAAAATCCAGAAATGACTTAAGTCAGTAGCAATAGGGCATAGTTAAATAAATTATGGTAAGCCTGGCTCAGTGTCTCAGCCTGTAAATCCCGCACCTTTGGGAGGCTGAGGTTAGTGGATTACCTGAGCCCGCGGGTTCAAGACCCGCCTGGGCAACTTGGTGAGACCTCATCTCTACAATAAATCAAAAACTAGCCGGGCGTGG